CATTGCAAAAATGCATCATGACTTTTCCGACAACCCAATAAATCAGATGATCTCCCCCGTGGGGGAGTAAAACTGGAACTGGCATGAGCATGCTGGCGGGCGGGGCTGTGCCCCATTAGTTAGGCTGGTCAGGGGAGGGGTGGCATCCGAGCTAGACGGGCTTTGTGCCCTCACCTCTCAGCACTCGGTTCCTGGTACTCAGTAACTTTTGGGTACATTTCACTTGCATCTAATGATCTGGTTATCTTATTTACCCTAAATATGGTGGAGAGCTAAGAGATGGACAAAAAGACTCAGCAGCCAAGATTGATTTCACAGAACTTAAGGCAGTGACAGCTCAGGTGCTTCTCTCCTGGTTGGAACCCCTGGGCCTTCATAATTGTAGCAGTGTAGTGGGTTTCTGAGTCCTCAGCAGAGTCCACTGAGGGTCGGGTCAGGGTGACGAGCGATGGCTGAGTGCCCTGATGGCATGTGAGAAGACAGCAGTTGACTAGAGCTGTACTCGGGTTTGTGCAGACAGCTTGCCGCAGTGGGCTCTGGGGCCTGTCGATTTATGTTTCGTAATAATGATTATTTGGTTTAAGATTTCAGAAAAGCATTTAATAGATCTTTGAAAGCCCTGCATCTAAATTGATTAAAACGAAACCAATATCGATCATTAAAGAATTAGGTTTTGGTTCCAGACAGCTGAGGTATTATATTTAGAAGTTTTAAAGGTAAAGCTTAGGAAATAATATTTTAGCGCTAACACTGCACCTTTTAGTTTAATAAGTAATAGTAGCATCTGTGTAGAACTCCAAGTAGGATTCCTATGTCCTTGGTTATAATATTAATATGAATGAACAGGTGAGGTAACCCCATTTTCCAGATGGAGATGTAGGATAAATAACATTATTGACCATATTTGTACAACTCAGGGATGTTAGGACTTGGATTTAGATTTTATACATTTCTAACCCAGAGATTCTTGAGGTGAACTACAGTTAGGACAGTGGACCAGATGATTGGCACTAGACCCCAGGTCTCACCCATGGCCCATTGTGCTGTGTTGTAGTCACCTCATCCTCAGCTCCCAGAGGGCAAGGTCCCTGTTAGGTTAGTACCAGATGAAGTAGAGCACGTATCTGAAAGGACAGCAAAGGGGCTTTTAATTGTGGAAGACAGTAAGAGCGTCTCCCAAGCAGATGCATCTGATGGCTCCTCCTCTGAGGTTCGCCGTGCTCTGCAGATTGCTGCTATGGCGCCACTGAAGATTGGCTGTACTCTCCCCTGCCCTGTGCGTCTGTTGCTGCTTCCGCTGCACCCCAACTTGCCCCAAAGCTTTTTAGAGCTGAAGTAGATAAAGATTCTAGTACATTTGTGACTCCTCTAGTGATAGTAGACGGCTGTAGTATGTCCTGTTGTTTTGCTTAGGAATAGAGGCCCCCCCCCACTCCCAACAAGACTTCCATATTGTGTGTAAGCGTTTCTGTACCCAGAAAGTAAACATATTACAGTGCAATTCAGAGGGGTGTTGCTGGCTGTGTTGACTGAGCTTTACAGCCATTTTAACACTGGCAAAAGTGTTATCCTAGCTGCTTCAACTCACACTGCAAAGATGCTTGTGTGAAATAGAGTATTAGATATCAAATCAAACATATGGGTGTTGAACGGAAAGATATGTGTTGTGGTAGTATATGGTATTCTAGCATGTGGAGCTGTATTTTATGGAAATTCTTTGGCTTGGCTTATGTCAGGGACTTACATTCATTATGAGATATCAAGCTGTAAAATAAATAAAAGCAAAGAATTCAACTGAGCTGTTAAATGGCTTTCAACACAAACTTGTCTGCTCTACCAACTGAGGGTCTGTGATGAGAGGCATTTGTGAGCCATTGTGGCCAATATTTTGTGATCATTGCTTACAAGTCTCGAAAAGAATCTCATTTAGGTCAAAAGGAATATTGATTTTATAACCTTTTGCCTTTTTTTCCTTTTACTTCATTGTATGTGTTATGAATTGGTCTGAGAGGCAAAGTATTTAATATTTTCCTCCTTTAACCATTCCCTCTTTTTCTTCGTTCAATATTCTATAGTAAATTTGTTTTTTAAGTGTGTATCTGGATTGATCACTGAATTTGTAATGTAAGTGTGTGGGCTTATGGGGCTCATGCTCTTGGAGTTCTCAAACGGACCATATTGTGTTATTAACAGAGTGACTTCACCATTCTCTGGAGTGCTTTTTGCCATCCTGATATCTTGTTTTTCTTCTGCTGGTCTCTCTCCCAATTAGAAAAAAAAAGCAATTGATTTGTTCATTGGAAAAAAAAATAAAAAAATATCAATCGTGTAATTACTGCATGAGGAAGGACTTTGCTTTGAACAATGATTTCAAGGATTTTTAGGCTCATGTGAATTAGAGATAGAGAAGACTCAGTTTAGGTTATATTTTTGCCTATATCTGGTTTTTGCAGTGCAATACACTTTGCTTTACATCATTGCCTGTTTTATCAACTGGTAAAATACTATCCTTGTATTACACATGCATATCTTCCTTCAAAAACTCATGTTGATGGTTATATTGTTTGATACTCATAGTACTATTTTCTAAAAGCATTTCTTTTGATTGTAAAGCCATGTAGTTTCTTTTTAGCAAAAGTAGTCAATGGAATTGCTAATGTAACTGCTACGGTATGTGCCATAAATGTAATTGGGAAGTTCTGACCTTCATTGAAACAAACATGCACCCTGTACATGCAGCCACACCACAGACATCCTACAAAATACTAGCTATTGAACTTGGACTGTTGGAGTACATTTTCATTTTGAGTGTTGCATGAGAATGGATTAACATAATGTTTCTTTGACTTTCTTAGCAGAGGCTATTTTTTAATGTCAGTATTAGAAGGGCCGTGCGCGCCCCCCCCCCCCCACGGGTTTTTTATGTAGTTGTCAGTATTTGATATCTGATAAAATGTTATTTTTTAAAGCCAAGTCAAATTATCTTTTGACTTCATTGATAGTATGTGGATAGAAGGCAGTATGTCGATTTACGTAAGGGAGAGATTATTAAAAATATTGAATTCACTTGCTTAGCAAAGAACCCACTTCGTGTTGCTGAATTGAAGCCACATTTGACTTCATTGAATGGTACTTTCTGACTTTCTCGCTTTCTTTGCCTGACTTTTTGACAGATGCCACCTCAGTATGGACAGCAAGGTGTGAGTGGTTACTGCCAGCAGGGCCAGCAGCCTTATTACAACCAGCAGCCGCAGCCTCCGCATCTCCCTCCCCAGGCTCAGTACCTGCCGTCCCAGTCCCAGCAGAGGTACCAACCGCAGCAGGTGAGGCCAGCTACTGCTCCCCATGCCCCTGTCCTGTCCTCAGGCCCGACTGGGCTTTCAGATGTCCTCCTGTCCCATTTTAAAAACTCTGTTTTCATTGGGAAAAAATGTAGCTTGAGAAAATGCAAAACTATAATCCAAACTGTTTGTTTGTTTATGGATGAGTGCTTGAGATTGAAGGATAGGAAGAATGACTAGTTTAATAGCTTCTTACATTACTGGATAGTGACAGCAGAAAATGTCAGTCCTTTCATGTTCTTTGTCATTTGTGTTCTGAATCTTTCAAGAAAGTGCTCTGTCACTTTGAGGCTTATGCAGGAAAATGGTTTTATCCATCATTTAATCTTGCTAGTTGGCACATTCATACTATTTTTATCTTGAGCTTTTTTTTCCCCTTTGGTTTTTGTTTTAATGGGAAGTGCCACTAGATCAAAACATTGTTGCCTTTGGCAGTGTTATTTTTCTTAAAGTAGCTTATAAACAGATAATCACTTCAATTACAATATATTAAAATACTAAAGGGAATCGTGTACTTTATAAGTATATTAAGCAGTTTCTAGTTTAAATTAGCCTCATTAAGTAACTCTGGTAGGTAATTGGGCTATATATTTCAGCTTACGTGACTTGTAGAAAAATAGGAAATATGCGTTTGGTAAAAATGATTCAGTTTCATCTTTTAGAGACTTGTCATTGAGTGATATTAAAAGGCGTTGTGAGGTAGGGCCCCTTACTTTGAATCCAAACAAAGCTTTCATAGCACTTCTAGTCATAGCATCAAAATGTAACTTTCCATTTTATCTTCTCCTTTCTCCTTTCTTTTTTATGTGGGGTAGGGGTGGTGAAGAGATGGGAAGACGGTGACATTGACTTATTCAGTTTTTAAAGTGCTTCTTACACATTTGAAGAGATTGTTGATGCTAAGCAAACTATAAAAATATATGAAACTGAATTTTAATCAATTTTGGTGATTTCTTAAGTATTATCTTGGGTTCATTGGAGTCTTTTCCCATGTGACTTTTAATTAAGAGTTCTAAAGGGAGTTTTTGACTTTAAACAAAATATGTTAAAGCATGTTAAATCCTGCCTTTTGCATATATGATTTCAAAATTTTGGTATTGTATAAAGGGATTTATAGAGGTAGGAATGTACATTATTTCAGAGTTATTTGGTCTCTTAATAAAGTGTGGGAAAAATCAAAGAACCTTTTTCATTTCCTTTTAAGTGAGAGAGACTGGTCTCTGGGTTTATGATATATAAAGTTATAGGCTTTTCAAGAGCTTTCGGGGCTTTATTGAACTTCTCTGTAGACATAGAATGTTTTGTCATGTGATCAGAATTTAGGGACTCAATAGAGAAATGACTCCTTTTACTTTGGTGTGCTAAAATGAATCTGATTGTAAAACCAATTCGATTAAGGATTCTGCGTCCCTGCCATTTCCTCCAAGACCAAGCTCAAAATTTACTTCTTTATGAAGCAGTCACTGGTGACTGCTACCACATGGCAATTAGCTACTTAATATCCTTCACATTTAAATATTTAAAGCATACTACAGGTAAAATCTTATTTTAATGGATAGCATTTTAATGGGCTTAGTTTAGGTCTATTTTATGCTTTGATACTATTGTGATTTTATTGATTTGAATACAGTAAATTATATGGCAGGAAATACCATATAACTATGACTCTAACATAAATATTGTCATTTTTATATATTCTGAGGAAAACCAAATATTCCTCAGTGTATGTTGGAAATGTTTTCTTGTTTTTATACTCTCATACTATTTTCTCAATTCATTAATAAACACATTATGGGACAAAGAAGTGGAAGTTGGAGACATTTAGGCTGCCTAATCGGATGGTCTGGTTTGATAGGAATGGTTTGTTCAGATTGATTTAAAAAGCCTCTCTAGGAAACAAGATCTTGTATTTTAGATAGAGCTAGCACCTCTAAAAGCAGAATAATTCCCCCAAATCTATCCCAAAACAAGTAAAAATAACCAATAGAGTATTTTCAAAATCAAGCTGAATTTTGATAAAAATTTGTAATACTTATTTCACATACATTTGAAAACCAAACAAGTTCAAGTATATTTAATGTAATAAGCTAGTTTTTCATAACAGACAAAACATTCCTTTCTGCAGACTTTCCTTTTGTTTCGACATAGCATACAAAGCATATATAGATTTTATATTAGGGAATCCATCAGCAAATAATGGTTTGTGTCTTTTGTCAATGCAATTGATACAAAAGGTAATTTTAGCGTTCCATTAAGATACTTCACTTTGTGTCCTTAACATTTTTAAATGTGTAAAGTTTTGAATAATCATTATGTTGGTTGTTTCAAAATTAAAGAGTACAGGGAAGGATGTAGGTAAGTCTCCGACCACAGTGCTCCCTCATTCACCACTCACTTCACCCTTTGCCAGATATCACTTTATTAGTTTATGGTATGTGTTTCTGGAGTTTCTTTAGACAAAGAAGTAAAATACCGTAAATTAATTTTTACTCAAATGGTGGCAAATTACAACATGCTATGTGTACTCTTCTGTTCTTTGTCACCCCCGCCCCTCCCCCCACCTCAAATATTGGGTTGTCTGTGAAGTCATGACGCATGTTTGGAACAGATGGCGTTCATTTTTGGAAGTCCTAGAGTCATTCGCATCTATGTTATTGCTATCTCATTTGACAGCTCACAGTTCTAGCTTCATTCTAAAAAAAATGTGAGCGATTTGGTTGAGTTTTGAAGATTTTACAAGTTGAAGATGGAAGACCAAACTGCACTTTTGCCATATTTTACTGTTTTACTTCCATAAAGGGAAGAACGTGCATCAAGCTTGTGAAAAGTTGCATAAAGTTTACGGTGACAATGCTCTACAAGAACGTCAGTGCCAACGATGGTTCACCAAATTCTGTGCTGGTCATTTTGATCTCAACAACGCTCCTCGGTCACAGAGGCCCACCGAGGTTGATGATGACAAAATAAAGGCATTGATGGAGTCAAATCTACGTTACACGACACGAGAGATTGCAGAAACATTGAACATCCATCACTCAAGCGTTCACGACCACCTGAAGAAGCTGGGATACATAAGCAAGGTCGATATTTGGGTTCCGCATGAACTCAAAGAAGTTCATTAACGGCGCGTATAAACATCTGCAATATGCTCATTAAACGTGAGGAAAACGATCCTTATTTGAAGCGATTGATAACTGGTGATGAGAAGTGGATTGTTTACAACAATGTGGTGCGCAAACGGTCTTGGTCCCGAGGTGATGATTCTCCTCAAACGACATCGAAAGCCAACATCAGAAGAAGGTTATGTTTTCAATGCGGTGGGATTTTAAAGGTGTCGTGTTTTTCGAGCTCCTACCAAGGAACCAAACAATCTATTCGAATGTGTACTGTTGGCAATTAGACAGTTTGAACGAATCCATCATCCAGAAACGTCCAGAGCTCGTTAATCGTAAAAGAGTTGTGTTCCACCGCAACAACGCGAGACCACACACAAGTTTGACCACCCGTCAAAAATTATTGCCACACCCACCATACTTGCCTGACCTTGTGCTGTCAGACTTCCACTTGTTTTGCTCTCTTCAAAACTCCTTGCATTGTATAATGTTCAATTCAGATGAGGCTGTAAATCAGCACCTTGTTCAGTTTTTCACAAATAAAAACAGATCCTTCTATGAACAAGGAATTATGAAGCTCACCGAAAGATGGCAAAAGGTTATCGAACAAAACGGACAATATATCATTG